CCCCACCCCACCCCACCCCTCCCCTGATTCTTCTCGGAGATCTACATGCTCTGTGGAGAAGGCAGCAGGAGCGCTAGGGAAGGCCGCCCATGCCAGAGCCCCAGCCGTCGGAGTCTCCCATTTCTGCCCAAGAGGCAGGCAGGTATCCCTTACCCCAATTCTACTCAAAGGCTCAGGGTTCCGAGAGCCCCCAATTCGAGTGCGTCAGGAGTCCCAGCTCCAACGTATCCCCAGGACCACGGCGTCCGAGTCCTCCATTCCAAGAACTCGGGCGTCCGGGCCCCCTTTCCTTCTACTCAGTAAATCAAGTATCCAAGTTCTCTCCTTCCAAGGACCCTGGCGTCTGCGCACATCCAATTCCTCCCAGTCCTCCCAGGGACGCGGGTGCGGCTCCACCAGAGCCGCTGGACCCCAGGGAGGTGGAACTTACAGATCAGGGGCCGATCCTGGCACCAGGGGTCTTCCTCGGGCTCCGGCTCCGGCTCCGGCTGCGGGGAGCGCAGGACGGGGCGGGGCAGGCTCCGGGAACAGGTTAGACAACGTGACTCCGGCTGGAGAGAGGCGGGTCCCGGAGGGGAGGGGGAGCCGGAGTCACCTCAAGCACCTTGGGACTTGTAGTCCCGGAGGAGCAGGGCGCAGACCCAGGCGTTCCCATTCGGAGTCACCCGAAGTCCATTTCACAGACAGGAAGGGAGAGGCCCAGAAGCCTAGGGCGACCTGGCCTTGGAAACAGAGTCCCGACTTCTACCTCTCTGTGGCTGCGGAAGACGGACTCCTGACTCCCTGCCGCACCCCTCCAAGCGCAGTTTCCCACTTCTTGAATGAAAATTTGGGCACTACCAAAGGGGTAGAAGGTTAGAGACTGGGGGAGACGCACACGCCCCGCCCCTGGCGCTAGAAGGGGGCCTAGCTAACTAAGTCAGTATCCCCTCAGGTTCCTGAGCCTCAGTCTCCCGTCGGTAAAAAGGGAGGCTTGGATCTTGATGGGATGTCCCAGCAACGGCGTCCAAAGCTGGGACTACAATCCCTAGCAGTGTCTGCAACCTAGGTCTTGGGCTCTCCTCGCGTCCTCTGGGAATTGTAGTCCTGGAGCCCGCAGGGGCGACGCCCGCGTGTCGCGCCCACGCGCGGGGACCGTCCGGCGATCCCAGGCGGAGGGAACGCGTCCGCTGACCCTACCTCTGCTCTGGGAAGCCCCTCGCCCCACGAAAAGATGAGCACCCCAATTTCGGAGTAGGATCCGAAATCTCGGCAGAGGGGGCGGGAAGCGGCGCTGACACACCGGCCAGGAATGCAGTTGGGTCACCCTGTCTAGCCGCTGTCTCGCGGCTCTGCCCGCCGCCCCACGCGAGGCGGTCCCTGTCAGAAGGGGCGGGGACGCGTCCCCCAAATCTGGGCCCACGTGCCGCTGTTTACACGCGCCCCGGGTCCGGGAAAGGGCTCTGGTCTACTCCCTCTCCCTTCCCCAAAGCCTTCTGGAATGCGCCCCACGCACGAGACTAGATCCTCCAGGACATCTACTCATCTCGTTTGTCCCACAAGCCCTACCCCCTTAACCCGCCCGGCCCCACGCGTGTCTGGCTCTGGAGTCTGGAGGCTCCGCCCCCTATGTTTCCCGCTCCCCAGTAGTCCAGAAGCCCCGCCCCTGGCTGGTACTTCACGCCCTCGGGAGGAATTACCCCCTTTTCTCCATTTTTCCACCCCTCCCACTCCAGTTCTGAACTCCCAAGGCATCTGGGCCTCCCTAGAAGGGACTGTAACACTGAAAGCACAGCCATGCCAACCAAGACTCTTACCTATCTCTTTAAGAATTTCAGACCAATCGATCTTCCTGTCTCTTTAAGAGTTAGGTCCTATCGATGTGGCTGGCCCTTTAAGGCGACGTTGGAGCAAAGAATGTCGGCTAGAGTAAGGGGGATGTCCTCCGGGACCTGGTGGCTCCACCTCCCGCCAGACATCGAATCGGCTGCTTTTGGGAGCAGATTTCCAGGAAGGATGTCTTCCTTGGTTGTCTGCTTCGCACAAATGGAAATTTCCCCCAATTCTGCTCCAAAAGCGAGCGGGCTCCGAGCGACCCCCTCCACGCTCCCGCGCACTTGGGCGCGTCCGAGTGAGGCCCCACCCCTTCGGTTCCACGTGGTCCTCGGCCGGGCCGCAGTGGGTCTGGCTGCGGGCGTGCGCAAGTCCTGCTTACGGGATGGCAGGGACCCCGTCCGCCGGTGAGTAGCTTCAGGGCGGGCCGGCGGGGTCCAGAGGGCTGGCTGGCGGGAGGAGAAAGGGGCGCCCGGGAGCGTCCGGACGGAAAAAGGGACATCTCCGGAAACGGGACCTGCGAAAAGCATGCCCTGGGGGGGG